TGATGGCTGTGAATAATATTTCTTTGTTGAGTGTTTCATAAATTTATCTGTTTTCAAGTTTGAAGAAGATGAAAAATGAAATAATTTTTATTCATGTTGGAGTAAACAGATAAAAAAAGTGATTTAATTTTGAAATTTTAATTAGGAATGTTTGGAATTCTTTAAAACTTAAAAATTGTATTATTGTCTTTTGAATAATACCATATTTTTGTAATTGTATAACATTTTAAGGGTAATTTTGTCTTTTACGTATATTTAGGCAATTGTGGTGAATGTTAAATTTTTTTGTCAAAGTGGAAAATGGCTATTTTGACTTGCCTACTTTGAAATATACCGCAAATAAACCCCCATAGGCACTAATACGAGGAAAGCCATCAACCGCCACCAAACCCATCACCACCTCTACCAGTATTTTCTTCTCCAAAATTTCTTCCATTGCTAGATCTCCCTCTGTTCTTCAGATCTTGAAATCTATCAATTTCACAGATATCAAGATGCAACCAAAAAACGATAACAGATTTAGAAACCCTTTTCAATAGTGAGAGCTCCCATGAAGCTCAAAAATTTGAAGCACGGTCCTGATATTTCTTTCAGCCATCTCATCAAGAAAATTTCCAATAAAATCTTGAGACTGCACAGGCACAAACCCATTACATTTTTCAACAAGATTTCCACGAAACACAAAATCATTTGATTTTTGAAGAAGAAAAAATGACCCATTTGGATTTTCAAGAGGTCCACGAACAGAAAATTGAGAAAAATGAGTTGCATGGCATGGTTGATGTTTACATTGAAGTTATTGGCGGTCATTTTATTCGGACTAAGTCAGATAATGAACCGGTGTCTGGTGAGATTCTTGTGAAGCTTCTGGAGAGGATGAGGAAGTCGGCGAGCTTGAAATCAGCTTTTGGGCACTTCAAGGAGGACGTTGTGGAGGCACAATGGCCTGCGACGACAAGAGAGAAGGGAAATAGAAAGCTGTAAAAATTTGAACACCTTGGATTCGTTTTTCTTGTTTGTTGAAGTAAAATAGGAGGAATTTTGGAGAAGAAAATTGTGACGAAGTTGGTGGTGGTTGGGGGTTTGGTGGCAGCAGATGGCTTTCCTAGTATTAGCGCAAATGAGGATTCCATTTTTTGGTCTCATTTTGTGGTGAGGGTGAGGGACAAGGACAGGGTTGAGGGTGGGAGTGGGAGTGGGAGTGAGAGTGGGAGAGGGAAAAAGAAGAAGATGCTTTTATTTTTATTTTCTTTTTTGACTTTTTAATTTAATATATTTGGAATTTATTTGTACTTTTTTGGAAAAAATTGGGAGTATGATTGCAATTTGTTCTTGATTTTCCTTTTGTTTTATTTAAATATGATAGTATAGTTGTCATTTAACAATTTTTAATTGAGAAATTGAATAAAAATTGATGAAAAAGACGTTTTCTACAATGAAACGTGAAAATAGAGTTGAAAATGCAAAACAATTTAAACGTAGGGATGTTTTGCACACTAAAAGTCAAACGTATGAATGTTTTGTGCTAATAAACCTTGTAAAAATAGTAAAAAGACACAAGATTATTGTACATAGTTGAATTTATTATATTGTCAAAATATTATTTTCTTGGGACAATTGTAACTACATAAATGATTAACCTTAAACATGCAGAGTGAAATTAGGTATACCTTAAATGTCTCTCCATCCGAAAATGTCAATGGAAGGTTAACCTCTCTTTCTGTTTGGACCCCAAAATCTTAGAGGTTTTCTTGGGAATAGCCTGGACCATCACCAATCTTTGTCAATTCACACCACCCCCACCCCCTTCCCACAAACATGACAGACGATTCCAAATCCAAAACAAAACAAACTACCTCCCGAAAAAGGATTCTGAGAATTCCAACCTCTCTGAACAGCAGCACATTTGTCCTGCCGGGAGGTGTAAGCAACTTTCAGATCAGCAAACATGGCCGCTGTCCATTTTCTTCCCTCCTGTTTTCTCATTTTTTGTCTTTATACCCCGTGTATGTCCAATGACGGTGTGCCTCTTTATGAATTCAAAGAGATGTTAGACGAATCTGCATCCCTGGATTCAACCTGGATAAAAGGCACTGATCCATGTAATAAGGAAACGAAATGGAAAGGTGTAGAATGTAACTCGGATAATGTCATAAACCTGTATCTTATGAACTATGGTCTCTCAGGAGATATTGCAATTGATTCATTGGTGAATCTTAAGGGACTTAGAGTTATCAGTTTGGAGAACAATAGCTTTTCAGGTCCATTGCCTGAATTCAATCGACTTACTGCATTGAAGTCTCTCTATCTTGCAGACAATGAATTTTCCGGGGAAATACCTTTGGATTTCTTTTCGAAAATGGGGTCTCTGAAAAAACTTGAGCTTGCAAGAAATAAGTTTTCAGGGAGGATTCCTGACTCTTTGACTAAGTTGCAGAATCTCAGGGTTCTCTTTCTGCAGCAAAATGAATTCACAGGGCCTATTCCCTCATTAGCACAAAAGTCTTTGGATAAAATCGACCTGTCTAACAATAAGCTGCAAGGAGAAATCCCTCCAGCCATGTCAAGATTTGGTACCAAGCCTTTTGAGGGAAATTCCGACCTTTGTGGCACAGTTTTGTCCAAAGAATGCAAGGCTGATGACAAGAGTGCAATTGAAACACCAGCAGAGGACAATATCAGTGAAACCAAGGAGTCAGGGTCGGGGACAGGCGCAAAGTGGGTGGTACTATTGGTAATGGTTGCCCTCCTGGTGGTGACAATAGCATTTAAGGGCAAGAGAAAGGAAGACGATTTCCAGATGATTCGAAAAGAGAATTTGGATGAGGCAGTGCAAGTACAGATACCTAGTAGTATGAAGAAGAGGAACTTGAGCAGCAGGAAAGGAAATAATTCAGTGAATTCGTCAAGAAAAGGCTCCCAACATGGTAGAAAAGTAGGTGATCTCGTTGTAATTAATGAAGAAAAAGGTATATTTGGGCTGCCTGATTTGATGAAGGCTGCAGCTGAGGTTCTCGGAAGTGGTGGTTTGGGATCAGCTTACAAAGCCAAGATGGTAAATGGGGTTTCTGTTGTGGTGAAAAGATTGAGAGATGTGAATAAAGTCAGTAGGGAAACATTTGACACGGAGATTAGAAAGCTCGGAACAATAAGGCACCAGAATATTTTGACACTATTGGCTTACCACTACCGTAATGAAGAGAAGCTGTTGGTGTCTGAGTTTGTTGCCAAAGGCAGCTTATTGTATCTATTACACGGTAAGAATTGTTATAACGGACACCTTACATCTCTAAATAATCCTCATCTGATATCCCTGAGTTGCAACATTTGGATCAATTATATATTGTTGTAGTTAGAAAAAAGAAGAAGATCTAATCAACGCCATCATATGCAAGAAATAGTCTTTTTTCTTCTAGATAGTTTATTTACATCTTAACTTTATAGTCTTCTTGAAACCTGAAAGGTATAATCAGAAAACAGATAGTTAACAAAATTCAAGAAATGATATGAATCTGCCTGTTCTCCTCTATTTAGCAACTGTCATTTCCATATGCCTTTCGCTCTTCTTTTTTTTGTTTGTTGAATAAACTATAAAATGGAGCTTTTCAGGTGATCGTGGGATTTCTCATGGGGAGCTGAATTGGCCTACTCGTCTGAAAATCATTCAAGGAGTTGCTCAAGGAATGGGATTTCTTCACAATGAGTTTGCACAATATGAATTGCCACACGGGAATCTCAAGTCTAGCAATATTCTTCTTTCTTCAGATTACGAGCCAATTCTCAATGATTACATGCTCTATCCATTTATCAGTAACACTCAATCTGTGCAACAACTGTTTGCTTATAAAACCCCAGAAGCCATATTGTATCAGCAAGTTTCTCCAAAGAGCGATGTCTTTTGTCTTGGAGTAGTCATTCTTGAAATCGTTACTGGGAAATTTCCTTCTCAGTATCTGAACAATCAAAAGGGTGGCACTGATGTTATACAATGGATTAAAACAGCAATTTCTGAGAACAAAGTTTCAGAATTGATTGATCCAGAGATAGCAAACACGTCAAATTCACTTGAACAAATGGAGAAGCTATTATATATTGGAGCCGAATGCACAGAAAGTGATCAAGAAAAGAGGATTTTGATGAAAGAAGCTATAAAGAGAATAGAGGAGGTACAAGTTTGAGCCATATATATTCTGAGTTGATAGATTAGGACAGTTGAGTAGAGTAACCAATGATATCAATATTGCGAGCTTTCAGTTATTGAATGAATGCCAGTGAAGTGCTAAAAGATGAGCTAGCCTACTGTGAGACTTTCAGTTTTGTCATTTCACTGTTTTTCCAGTCGGGCCCTGTTCTGCGCTACTATCTAAAGTCTTGTTTTACTGAAACATCCACCTCGTTGCTTGCATTGCTGACATAGGTACATAGCCAGAATAATGATAATTTTTTCATCAAACAAGGATGCTTATGAGCGGCATTTTTGTGTAGAAATGTCTCTGGCCTATCAGATTACGAAGAGGAGACAAGGTTGAAAGTTTTGTATATTCTTAAGAAAGCATAGAATTAATTTTTCATTTCGAAAAATAGTTGCTTTCTTCCAATTTCTCAGGGTTAAGGATTCAGCTTGTTTGCCATTTGCAGAGGTCTAGCTAATTGTTGAAAAGCATTGGCAAGACAAGAGTAAAGATTTTTGAACTATAATGTTTCAGGGAGTCTTGTAGCCTTGGGCTTGACTGTCAGTAACAAAAGATTTCTTGCATAACATAACTATGAAGGAACTGTACATAAAATGACTTTTTTTTTTTGCTTCTTCCCATTTTCAGTAAATTTCTTGTCAACCTACAATGTATATGTATGCTGTCTGATTAATAGAAATTTCTTTCGAGATGTTTTGAACCTCTGCAAGTATTAGTGTAAAGTGGAATGTGGTTCAGGTGTCGTTGATCTATGTGGAGTCAATATTTTTTAGTATTATTTTAGTTAAAGATAACTTGTAGCATTTTTATGTCAACTGCTTCGTTTCTATCTTCAGATTTTGTCACAAGGATGAAATTGAATTGAGGCTTGAAATTGATAGTCAATCCTTTACACGCCACAAATATTCCAAGTCTTGTTTTCTTGAAAGGTAGCTTTTATACACAATCAATACACCCAAATACTAGTATTGTCATATTTGGCTACATTGTTCTATGTTTTACTTCACGTTATATACTATCATTAATCTTTATTTCAATCAAGTAATTAATTTTCCTGTTTGGTGGGGATAAAAATCAGATTTTTAGTAGATTTTGATAAAAAATTGATAAAAAGTGTGGTTGAAAAGTTGTGGATCCCATCAAATGTGTGGTTAAAATTAATTTTTGACTTTATCTTAAATTAAAATTCAACCACACATTTTTCAATAAAATAATATTTTCCATCACATCAATAATTTTTTCTTCTTTTTCAACCACACATTTCCCATCATATCACTATTCAAAAATCAATTCTTATCCCAAAAATCCCCACTAAACAAGCACTAAATGATATATGCGCTTAAAACAAAGTGTCACATTTTTCATTTTATCAAGTGGGACTATTTAGAGCTTGTTTGTGAGGGATTTTAATCAAATTAAAATTGAAAATATAGTTGTTATTTGGTCTCACTCATCTAATAAAAGTCAACAATGACGATTAATTTTTTAATTTTAATCCGATTTTAATCTCTACTAAACAAGCTCTTAG